TGTAATTTAACTGTATAGTATCAATGCTTCGATGGAGTCGTAATTCGATAACTCGTTGATCTCATTTTAGAACAGTCGCTCTGTGCTGGATACTTTACAAACAGTACAATTTACAAGTACCTACAAATCCGCTTGGTACGCTTGGTACGAAGCTCTTTCAAAGGAACTTTTTTTGTACCAAAAGTTCTCAATCCCTCGATCCAAAAATAGGGCGAACGAGTTCTCCGCCGTCCGTCTTAATTAGAAAAGGCCTAGCTGCCAAATAAATTGCGTCCATCTTCATAACCCTCCCGACTTTCTGCTTCTTCTAGCTCCGCCTCTGGCTCGATTTTCACCCTTCGATTTAACACCTACGGCTACCCGGAACCCATCCCCGACCGGAACTCCCTTATTCATCGGGAAAAGGAACGACCCTTCCCCGCCCCTTCTCTTCCAGCCTTCTCTTCACCCTCTTGGCTCTTGGTGTTTTTCTTTTTTCGCCGCTTCCTCGCCGTTACCCTCGCCGCTCGCTTTGAAATAAACACTACTCGACTTCCTCGACTGTGAGAACTGAAACGAGATACAGAGTGTGAAAAGGAATGGCATGAACGAGAGGTGGAAAAAGGAGGAAATAGACGGGGAAAGAAATGGAATTGTAGCCAAAGGTGTACGTACATAGGTGTTGTACGTACATATATGTATATATATATAAAGGCGAAGAGTTATGGGGTACACATGGAAACGTCGCAACGATGCGTGACACATTGGGCGCGAGGGACTAACAAACTCTGTCGGATATATCCGTCCGCGGCCAGCCCACCAATTTGTCGATATCGTCCTTGTATCGTTTGCGTCCACCGATCGATTTGTATTATTGCGCTTCGGCGCTTCAACTCACGCGATGCGAGCCTCTCGGCACATACGCGATTAGTTTTTAGCTCTGTAGACTCGATTGATTTTCGTCGATCAATCTCATTCTAAATTGGGATGAATAACGAACAGTAATTGGGCTAGCAATAAGTCAGCGTCTATAGAATACTATACAAAAACGTTTTCCATAGTTCTTCAGAAATTCAGAAACTGTTTAGAAGAAAGGGGCGCAAAACAAGTGAATCGAGTAAAGCTGTTAATTAATGAGCTGCAAGTGTTTTTCCAGAAAGTTACTTGAACTATACTATGTATAATTAAATTAAACAAAGCAGTTATTTGAAAGAAACATTTTCTCTCCGTACATTAGGTAAATCTTCAGAAATTTAAGTCTTCAGATTTATTTAAATTTAATAAATCTTCATTGAAGGAAGATCTTTTTTATCAACGAAAGATACTTTTTTGCACTCGCCTCTCGCCACGTGATTGAAAATCGTTAGTTTCTCATTTACAATTTCAGCCAACGTATCCGATTTCTCAGCGCGATACCTAAAGAAACTCGCAGGACGCGGCTGTCCCGAAATACATACATACGTACGTACGTATGGACACACATGCGTAAAGTAAGTACACCCTCCGTGAACCGACTTCTGCCTCGTAAACATACTCTCGGCTCTTCTTCTAATAAGAGTCGATAAGAAACGAAACGAAACAAACGAAGTTTAAACGCCTAGTCACACCGGAAGTCGATAAATATCCAAGATTCGTGCTCGTCATTTTCTGGCAGTTTCCTCGTGCGGGCATTCGAGCCATGGTTAATTTCGTCCATGGCTAGGTGTCTGCTGCCCGTTCGGAGATGTAACTATGCAGTAATATCGTGTGCGTGGCCCACACGAAGACGAAATTCAGTAGGAACGGAGGGCGACCGGTATGCACGCGGTACGGAGATGGTACGGGTACGAACGAGAGGGAACGATGAAACGACAATTACGTTGAAATAGTGCTTCCGCCAAGAGGCGCGCCAATGGTGCCGCGTGTTAGCGTTCATTGGCCACCGTTCTCCATTGGTGTGTGTGTGCGTGCGTGCGTGCGTGTGTGATTCTTACCAGCGACGCATCGTCGATCTTTATAAATTTGGAAACACGTCCTCGCGTCGCTAATAAGAGCCGCCACGAGTACGTACCCGCACCCGGTGGTTCGAATTGATTTGCCTCCGATGATTAACAGACCTGGCGCTTCAATTTTATGAAATGAATTCAAGTTTGCTAGCAAAAAAAGAAACTGAACAAGCACAATTCTCCGAATCTTTTCGAACAACTAGCGCAACAGGCAACCATTCGAAATAGATTACATTCGACGAGAAGAAGAAAGTAAAATAGTAAAGTGAGTGTTTTAAAACTGAAAAGATCCACCGAGTTCTCTCGCTCATTTCTATTTTCAAGATTTACGTTGTTTATCGTAACTGAAACGTCTTTCTTCATCCATGCTGCATCAAGAAAAATTAGTTATATAAAATATAAGTCCAACGATATAAAAATTTATACGTCTCTGTGTTCCAAAAGAGGCAACTGCGTTGTACAGACGAGGACGACTATTTATTATTTCCTTGTTTGTCGCCGGTAATACGCTGCTTCGAAAGAAATGGCATCGATCGGCAGGAAGCTTATTTCGATATCCGGGGCAAGTTCCGGAAAAAAACTGTAAAGCACATGCTCGGGTGAAATATTGCCCGTGGATATATTTGCAACGGATCGAACCGGGTTTCCTGCTGTCGTAAATCTTGTCCACCTGCACAGTTTTGAAGACGATAAGTAGAAACGGCTCGCGTTAAACAATTCCTTTTGCTCGTGGCAATACAGAAACCCCCTACAAGCGAGTTTATTTAATATAAAGCGACAAGCGAAACTGTTTAAATTTGAATGATTGCAACAATTGTCGATGCGCCAAGAATTGTAAGCAAACTGTCTGCCGACTTTGGAATAGCCTGATTTAGTCGAACTTACACATTCTTTTTATTTGTTGTGGAGAAACTTAATTTAAAGGCGTTTTTAAAGTAGAAATTCTTAAACTTGGAAATATCTGATAATCGATCAATTAAATACTAACGTATGTAAAGAAGCCTTTCCATCAAAGCCTAAGCAGCCGAGAAGAAGAAATTCCCTTTGTCGACACCCGAAATTTGCTAATGAACTTTCGTTGCCGCTACTCTGTGAAACAAATGAGCACGTTCCACACTCCTTGCGTGATGGAAAGAATAATCATCGATCACTATGCTGAAAAGCAGCCACGATCATTGTCCAACTCTCCTCTTTAGTGGCGATGCGACGCACCGAAAAAAAAAATATCTCGTCTGAGTCGCGTCGCATCGAAAATCAAGATCCTCCGACGTCTTCAACAACGTCTAGAGTCTAGCGCGGCGTTTTCACTTGAAAATTATCATCCAGCTCCTCTCTTTCCTCCGTGTTTTCTCCCTTTTCTCCTGTTGCGCGCGCACGACTTGAATGAACGGCGCGCGACACAGAAGAATCCCACTCTCGACTCTCGACTATAAATAGATAAATACGCGACTAGCGTGTGTATGTAGGGCGGTTTAAACAAGGAACGAGGAACGGAGGTTATGTACGTGTATCCTGTGTTCGTCGGAAGTCGACGGGCGAAAGCTCGCGCGATCAAGTGATTTTCGAGTTCATTGGGCGGCGGAAAGGGAGAACTCTGATCACTTCGACAGTTATCGGCCGTAGTAAAATTAGTTTGTACCACTTGCGAGAGTGGCAATGCTTCTCGCTTGCGAACAGTTGCTGCCGCGAATAACTTTGCTGCGTGGGTGGATTACGCGCGTATGTACATACACTAGTGGACAAAATTATAAGACAAACGATAAATAATATAGAACAAATTAATTACAAGACAAACAAAATGTAGAACAAGTATATTGTAAGACTTACAAAATTACTAACACAAAGGTTTTCATTATATTTGTTGTAAACGATATTACTACGTACAATCATTATATCTGTTGTAAATATTACTTGTAACTTTGTCCACTAGTGTAGATTTGAGCTTTAATCTTATGAACGCTAGAACCATCAGAGTTGTCAAAATGTCGAATTTAAATAATTTTCTATAGAAACTTTATAAAAGCGTATTTTTAGATACGAATGATTTTTAATAAAATGTATTAATAGAAGTTTCTGTTTCTTATTGTATTATTAATTTCTTCTTTAATTTCTTTACCACAAAAATTATAGTTTGGTCATCGGTAATTCTACAAGACAAACAAAATGTAGAACAAGTACATTATTAGACTTACAAAATTACTAACACAAAGGTTTTCATTATATTTGTTGTAAACGATATTACGTACAATCATTATATCTGTTGTAAATATTACTTGTAACTTTGTCCACTAGTGTAGATTTGAGCTTTAATCTTATGAACGCTAGAACCATCAGAGTTGTCAAAATGTCGAATTTAAATAATTTTCTATAGAAACTTTATAACAGCGTATTTTTAGATACGAATGATTTTTAGTAAAATTTATTTTGTGTTCCTTATTGTATTATTAATTTCTTCTTGTATCGTGCACTTTAATTTCTTTACCATAAATATTATACTTTGGTCATCGGTAGTTCTAGCGTTAAACAGATGTTTTGTGTATGTATTAAGATGACCTAAGAAGGTGTTAAATTTGCTAGAGAACTTTCTGTCGTTTGTCACTTTGTCAGTCTGTTCTTGAAAAATTGTTTTTGCCTTTTTCATTTTATTATGAATATCTTCAAATCAACATTCACAGGGTTGTCTATCTCTTTGCAAACAAGTTTTGTAAAGAGCGTAATAATACTGTACTAGAAGATTATATAGACTACACTATAATATTGAAACTATTTATATAGTTTAAGTATTTAACTGTAAAAGAACATTACAGTGTTCTTTTTCATATCCAAATAATAACAGTATTTCTCCAAGCATCTGGAGAAATATTATTATTTGATGAAGATTTATAGTGAAACCGTTATAAATCTTCTGAACGATCCGATGTTGTGTTGCATCGTGCAAAAACACGTTTTGAAAAATAGGTGGAACGTGACAAATTGCGGTTGTCTACAGAGCAATTCTAAAAGGTGAATCAACTTGTAGTTTTGTTTTGTGTACAGGAAAATATCGTAAAAAAAAAAAAAAAAAAAAAAAAAAAACACAAAGCCAATTTCACATCTTGTAACGTTCATGTGAAACAAAACTTCCAATGATCACACTCCCCCTCCATATGAAATATCTCGAAGAGAACCGTACCAAGAGACCTTTAAAAATTGATGTTAAATCGTGTAAAACGCAGACAGAGACCGTCCGAAAATCTGGACACCGAGCAGACATCCCAAGAGCTTCTCGTTGCTTTCTGCTGTTCCAGGAAAAGAGGAGGAAAGGATCATGTTCCAGCAGATGCAGTCGATGGCCCAGAAGCAGGTCCTTAAGCTATTTCTACCCATGTCGGCATATTCATTATACATATATATATATATAATTATTATTATTCTCTCTCTACATATATATGTATCACTACCACTCTGATCGACGATATGTTATTTTGTCACGTTCATCCAACGTATATATGTACATATCATGTATCGTTCGTCAATCGTAAGACCATCGTGCACACGCATCTCGTGTCACGCAGAGATGCGCGTGCACACGCATATTGCGACACGGGATCGACATTGTTCTATATTTTTCTCTTTCTCATATCTTGTTCTTCTTCTTCTTCTTCTTCTTCTTCTTTTCTTCTGTCTTTTTCTTTTGGTTTGGTTTTCTCTTTCTTGAAAATCGCTGCCCACTGTTGTGACGTAGTTTGCTTGCAAAGTAGAGAGTTATTAATGCGCTGCCAGTGGCTTCAAGTTCTCTTGCCCCGTGTCATTTCACGCTTCAGCCCCTTCGCCGCCGCCGCCTCTACCTCCCCCATTTGCGCGTATGACGATTCACCGGCCGCGTCGTTATGCCATCGCGTGCCATTCCACCATCGTTGGAAAAGGAAAACGAGTATTTTCACAGGAAAGAGCTGACGCGAAAGAGAAAAAGCGAAACGCTTTCCCTCGCTGTGTGTGTACCGTAGGAGACCGAGCACACGGGTGTCCCCCGTCTAGACGCGAGCATTTTCGCGAGACAGAATTTCCTTTCACCGAACGATCTGTCTGACGTGCGTTGCAAACGACACGGTCGCGAAGATGCGACGAACGATCGAGTCAACGCCGCGCCGGTGGGCTCGATCGCGCACGAACCTCGCACGAAAATGATCTTTTCATCACCTCGCATACTCGCAAGAGAAAGCCAGACGAAACGTGCATCAGGTACGGTATACATGTACATGAAGCGAGCTGACACGGGCTGCGACCAAGGAGCACGCGTATTCACCATCCGAATCGCCGTGAGATATTTCGCGTTCCTTCGCTTCACTTCAGGCATTTTGTACAAATTTCATTTATCGGCTTGAATTTCGATGCTTCCCTGTTGCTTCTCGTCGTCTCTGCGAAAGGAAACGAGAGACGATCGAGATCGGTGATTATCGGCGTACATCCTCGGTCCTCCTTCTTTTCGGCCCACGACGCTTACCGGTTTCGAAACCAATAATCACGTTCAAACACGAACAGCACACGCTCCAGAGGTATACAGACACACGAACATGGCCCAATATTTTAGGCACGTGTCACCGCCGCGTTCACCAGCACGCAAAAGCACACGTATTACACCTCCGTTCACTATCACGCTTGCACGGCACCAACGTGCTTGCGGACGCTCGTGTTCCGTGTACGCGTGTCCTTGCTCCGATCTGTCATACGAAACGTCCAAAAGCTCCGATTAATCGACTGGAAAGATCACGTCTCTCTAACTCGCTGCACCTTGTCATCGCAAGAAAATGCATGGAAGCCGGCAATCTACGATAATTTGTATGCTCCGGGTATTAAAGCAGATTGCTGTACCCTCTATATAAATTGCTACGTTCACAGAGCAAATCTACTTGTAGTTGCTAACAAGAATACGCTGTGTGAATTTTTTATGAGCAAATGTAATATGTTGTATAAAATATGTTTGGAATTTTATTAATACTGGTAGCGAGATTTAACTTGATTATATTGGTCAAGTCTGAAGTAAATCTAAAAATGTACACAGAAGTTACAAAATCACTTCTTGATCAGCCATAATTCGTTAATACGAACATTGACATTATGGACATTCAGTCAGACTATCTTTAACATTTAATACGGCCATTCGTGCTACATATTATTTTTTTTACTAAATATATATTTGCAACAAGTAACTTCTATATACATACAGTTTCGATAATCATATCATAATGTTAATGAAATTTCACAATGTTCTATATAACATACATAATATAAAGGATAAAGATTCTCGACAAAGATTAAGTTAAGATATTCAAGTACTTTCGTAAGTCATTTATAAATTTGGATTCTAGATCTTCATTTATGATAATGTAGAAGAGGTAAATCGTCACGTAAAAAAGAATTCAATAAAAGCTCTCATTTCTGAAGTGTAAACGCTTGAACCGCGAGCTTTTGGACAGTTTCCCGGTGCTCAGAATAGCGCTTATTTTAGCAGCATTCTATATACTGTCGCTACTTCGCTATCACCAGTTCACCAGTAGCAAATATTTGTATCGTTACCATCATTACTATTCCACCGCCGCCACCATATTCTCTCGCATACCTCACGTAAATTCGTCTGTTAGAACAAAACAGTCGTAGTTTGTTCCCAAAACGTCGTTCACATCCGTAGCACTATATGCCCAGTCTGTAGCCTGATCTCGGATGCGAAATCGCCGTGGAAGATTAAAGAGACACCGTTGAACGTGACCTCCTGTCGCGACACGGAAACGAAATTTATTTTAGAACGAAAGAGTGATTTCTCGTTACGAATGATTTGACTTCCTGCGAGTATTCAGAACTTTAAAAAAACGCTGCCACGTGTATCACGTTTATAAAATATAAAAAATAAAGAGTGCAACTTAACAAAGAGATTTGTAAGATTGAAAGCATAAGTCAACGAAACGAGAACAAAGAGAGAGAGAGAGAGAGAGAGGAGCGCGGGGGCAATAAAATATCCCATTAGCATTCATCCTTGGCGGCGCAGTAGAATAGTTCCTCGAGAGTCAGACATGCTTAACTCGCAGCAGAGGAGGGCGCGTTAAGCGCAAGAAATTCAAGCGAGGAAAAGTAGTTCAAGCACGCGTGCCTGCAGACAATAACGAGGAAGCTGGAAACGAGGCGTGGAAAACGCAACACGATTTTTATCGCGGTGAAGATATTCGAAATACAATTTCCTTGGGACGCGAAAGAGAAATAACGATTGAAAATCCACGGCGACGTCGCATCCGTTCGAACATCCACCGATTTCCCTGCATCCCCGTGTTATGTGCCTGCGTTCATTAGATCTAGGAGTCTAGGCGAAGTCTACGTGGCTTGAGTGGCAATTTAGAGATATACTTAGCGGCAGGGGGATTCGCACGAAAGTAGACGGGGAGGACTCATTTAAGCATTCTCGAAGAGTCATTATTTGTGTTATCCGGGCGGACAGAGCATCGAGAAATCAAATAAAAAGAAGTACATTTTGAACACGACGTGTTATCATCACATCTTTCTCTTATTCTTTCTTTCTCTCTGTTTCTTGCACCGGAAGGATGTACTCTCCACGGTGCACCCTTCCATCATCGTGTTCGATCATCCCACACAAGTCGGACACCGAGAACGAGATGTTCGAAACGAACAAATGCACCAGCACCAAGGCCTGTCTCGTCACCAACATTTTTCTTGTGCCGTCGACTTAGTAGCACCTTCTCACCGAGTCTGATTTGTTCACCCACGATTTAAGATCCCATCTAAGATCCCGTTCATGACTGACATACTTCATCCCAGAGGAAACGATCGGCAGAAAGGACGCTTTAGGGCTCAGTATCGTGACGTGGCAGCCATCACGACGATGATGTTATTCGGTGGCGCAGTTTTGTTACAGCAATCGAGATATCGATCGCAAACGAGAATCGAACCGATTCTCTGGCAAAATCCGGCTTCACGAAGGGAGCGGTTTTATTTTCAGCTTGCTTTCGCCCGTGAATTTTGTTGGACGAAGGGAGATCGATCGATCTCCGTCACCGGATGGTTTATTTCCGCGCAAACGGAGAGAAAACGCTGCGCATTTAATTAAAAGATTATTTACCTAGCGCACACTTGCGAACGACGATTAACACAGTTACGAAGATAATTGTTTGCAGGAAATTAAAAATTGAGTTCGAAGAAAGAAATGAAACGACGGAGGTGGATATTTTTTTAGCGGCGCATGCTTCTTTCTCAGTTGCAAACCGCTGTGGGCTTTTGTTGTTGTTGGTTTTCGATTTAGTTCCTTTTACGGAACCGGAGATCAGAAACGAAACGCAAGAAATCGAAGGCAGAAACGTTAACCTATCTATCGAGGAAGAGAAATATGTCGGAAAGCCAATGAAGTATGTCAAGCCGTGGCTAACATCCTTGACAAAGCATGCGTCAGGAATCAGTCTCCTAGAAACAAGATACTCAAGAGCGTAGAATCTCTCTCCCTTTCCCCCGTGATCGTTCTCTTATTCCCAACTCTTTGTTACTCTCTTTCTTTACTCTCTGTCTGTCTTCTCTCTTGTTCTGTCTTTCTATTTGCACCCTGCAGATCGAATAACGACTGTACGAGACGTCGACGACCGGGACTACACCAAAAAAAAAAAAAAAGAAAAAAGTATAGACGGCTGATCGGGGAAAGTACAGAGAAGTAGGGGAAAAAAAGAAACAAAGAACTAAACGAATGCGATGATAAACTATACAAAAGTACAAAAAAAAGTCTATATATATATATATACATACATATATATATATATATATATATACATATAAAAGAAAGAATAAAGAGTGCTGCGGTTGGAATGCGTGGAATGAGCTGCTTTGGATGTGTAGGTGATAAGACGTTTAGCAAACCCCTAACAGAGGGGAAATTTACGCCCGCATCCGCCCCTTCGTCATTCATTCCGTTCTAACAACAACAACTATTACTACAACAACTACCACATTATCGATCAGTCGAACGTCATGATTACCGCCATGAAAAAAAAGAAATATATATATATAATATCGATCATTATCATTATCGTCATCATCAACAATAACACCTCCAATGATCACCACCAAGCCTCCCTCGAAATTAGTGAACGAAGACATGCACGTGACCTCTTCCCCAAATCCAGGCCCCGCCACAAAGGACCCGATAGGTACACTGATCACACTTGAGTCTCGGTAAGAATCGATCCCGAACCGAACAGGGAACGGAGCGTACACTCTCCAAACTACCCATCCGACAAACTCCCCTCGAGCAACCCCCATTGCGTAGCGCGTAAATCGGATCGATTCGTTTTTCACGAAGCGAGAACGGACCAT